CTACTAAAAATACAAAAAGTCAGCTGGGCATGGTGGCACGTGCCTTTAATCCCAGCTACTCAGGAGGCTGAGGCAGGAGAATTGCCTGAACCCAGGAGGCGGAGGCTGCGGTGAGCCGAGATCGCGCCATTGCACTCCAGCCTGGGTAACAAGAGCAAAACTCTGTCCCCCCCCAAAAAAAAAGTACTTCATGCTTAAATAAATTTGGAAAATGCTGGATTAAACACAATTAAAGAATGATTTTGTTGTTTTTTGTTACTAATGTGCAATTACTCAAAGCATTTTGTATAATGTGCATCATGAAGTTCCAAGAGGAAAATGTACCCATCTGGCAGTGTTTCCCAAAGTTATTTGAAAATGAAACCCAGGGCTAAATGTGGTGGCTCATGTCTGTAATCCCAGCATTTGGAAGGCTGAGGCAGGAGAATCCCTTGAGGCCAGGAGTTCAACATCAGCCTGAATAACATAGCAAGACCCTGTCTCAATTTAAAAAAAACCAAAAAACAAAAAACAATGAAAACAGAACCAGCCAGGCAAGTGACTCATGCTTGTAATCCCAGCACTTTTGGAGAAATGCAGGTGGTTCACTTGAAGTCAGTAGTTTGAGACCACCCTGGCCAACACGGTAAAACCCCATCTCTACTAAAAATACAAAAATTAGCCAGGCTTGGTGGCGGGCTCCTGTAATTCCAGCTACTTGGGAGGCTGAGGCAGGAAAATCCCTTGAACTCATGAGGTTGACGCTGCAGTGAGCTGAGATTATGCCACTGCACTCCAGCCCGGGTGACAGAGCAAGACTCAGCCTCAAAACAAAACAAAACAAACAAACAAAAACAAAGAAAAGAGAACCTATTTTTATTCTAGCATATAGGTAATAGCTCCACAAAGCATAGTTTGGGAAAAAAACACTAAAGTAAAAAATGTCAATCCTTGGCTGGGTGTGGTGGCTTATGCCTGTAATCCCAGCACTTTGAGAGGCCGAGGTGGGTGAATCACTTGAAGCCAGGAGTTCAAGACCAGCCTGGCCAACACAGTGAAACCCCATCTCTAAAAAAAATTTAAAAATTTAAAAAATACAGATTCACCAAATAATCAGAAAATCTCATACCCAGAGTATGTGTGTATGTTTTGTTGTGTCGTCTTAGAAATAAATCTATCAGAGGCACTCTTTTATTTAAGATAGGCCTCTTAAGAAAAAGCTTTCTTTGTTATGTGCAGCCACTGAAAAAGAGAAAAAGCTTTGTAGCCAGCAAAGAGAATGTACACAGTGTGTGTATGTGCGCCTGTGTGCATGCGCATGTGAATGCCTAGCAGGTTTGAGCTAGGTACCATATACACATCTGAAACAGGAAAGATTCACAAAGCAATGGCCAGCAAAGAAACAGGAGGCATCTGCAATAACTGCGCTAACCAAGAAGTTTCTCAAGAACACGAAAAAATTTAATAAAGAATAAATTTGACCTGGTGTGGTGACTCATGTCTATAATCCCAACATTTTGGGAGGCCAAGGCAGAGGGATTGCTTGAAGCCAGGAATTCAAAACAAGCCTGGGCAACCTAGCAAAGAGATGGAAGCTCCATCTCCACAAAAACTTTTTTAAAAATCAGCCGGCTACACGACACATGCCTGCAGTTCTGGCTACTGGGGAGGCTGAGGCAAGAGGATCATTTGAGGCCAGAAGTTCGAGGCTGTCATGAGCTATAATCATGCCACTACACTCCAGCCTGGGCAAAAGAATAAGACCCCATCTCAAGGGAAAAAAAGAAAAGAAAAATCAATGTATAACTCAGTACTTACAGCTGGGTGCAGTGGCTCACGCCTGTAATCTCAGCACTTTGGGAAGCAGAGGTGGGTGAATTACTTGAGGTCAGGGGTTCAAGACCAGCCCGGCTAACATGGTGAAACCCCATCTCTACTAAAATACAAAAATTAGCCAGGCATGGTAGTGTGCACCTGTAGTTCCAGCTACTGAGGAGGCTGCAGCAGGAGAATCGCTTAAACCCAGGAGGCAGAGGTTGCAATAAACCAAGATTGCGCCACTGCACTCCAGCCTGGGCAACAGAGCGAGACTCCATTTAAAAAAAAAAAAAATAGTACTTATTAAGCACAGCTTCTCTAGAGATAGTAACATGAAAGTCCTTTCCCTTATCTTGTTCTCAGAAGAGCAAACTATTTCAAAGACAAAACTGAATATAGATGCTTCAGAGAATATTTTAAAGAAATTCATAAGGACTCTCACTTATGAGAGGTGGGGTCTTGTTCAGTTGCCCAAGCTGGAGTACAGTGGCATGATCCCATCGCAGCCTCCAGAGTACCTGGGACTCCAGGTGCACACCACCACATCTGACTCATTTTTGTATTTTTTGTAGAGATGGGTTTTCGCCATGGTGTTCAGGCTGGTCTTGAACTCCTAGGCTAAAGCAATCCACTGCCTCAACCTCCAAAAAGTGCTGGGATTACAGGCGTGAGCCATCACACCCAGTCCCTGCTGCTAACTATTAAGACAACTCTTGCTTTGGCTCAACTGAAAACAAATCCAATGCTGACAACTGTAACTATAATAAACTGATTTAACACAAAATTTTAGAAATGTGTTTACAATGGAGCTTGATGTAAAAAATACTAATCCAAGCACATCTATTCTTCAAATTAAAAAAAGGCAAGAAATTATCATTTTCAGTCTGCTAAAAACCAGACAGATAAGGGCCGGGCGCGGTGGCTCAAGCCTGTAATCCCAGCACTTTGGGAGGCTGAGGCGGGTGGATCACGAGGTCAAGAGATCGAGACCAGCCTGGTCAACATGGTGAAACCCCGTCTCTACTAAAA